TCTAGAAATGTAGCATAATAACAGCGTTAAACCCTATAAAATTTTGTCGCTTTTGTGCCGCTGGGTTAACAGTAACATAGGTTAGAGTCCCTGTCCGGAGACTTTTCTTGGCTGGCAGCCAGCTCCCAAAGTTAGATAGTCAGCCTTGTGTATATTGACCACTCCAGCTCGGTAGCACATGGGTTGAGGTGCTGATGGACCATATGCCACATGGACGTGGTCTTAGAGGGGCATATAGAGTCTGTCTCGTGGTTGCCGGAGTGCGGCCTATTGGCCCTTGCTTGGGCCAGTGTGACTGGCTAGGGCAGTGTAGGGGCTCTTACCTCGCTTCCCCAGTCGTGCAGAGTTTGGCCTGCACATGCGGAGGGTGATAAATTTATTTCGCCCCATGATGCGCAGTTCGTTCTTTGCGTGGTCCGGTCTTGAGGGTCTCTGCAGAGTCTCAGCATATCTGTGCGGTAGGCTCGGGCATACCCTTGGAGTTGCTGCAGGGGCATGGCATATCGGCTGCTGTGATAATCTCTGCTTTGCTGCTAGAGGTGCCCGTCAGCCTTGCCTGCATGTGGTGTCCCATATGGGAAATGCTTGTGTTTGACCTGGAGGTGAGTCAAGGCTGTGTAGTCATTGCTCAGATGCCCCTGGGGCACCGGGAGTTTGTTTCCCTGTACTGGCACTCCCCTGGAGGTCTCCTGGGCCTGGCCCTGAGAGGGACCTCCGCAGGTGCTGACCCCTTGTGGTTGTGTGTTGGGAGGGAGTTGCTGCGTTTCCCCGCCAGGTCTCCTGTGGGGTGCACTGTGAAGATGAGCGAGGCGGCTTCTCAGCGACTGAGGGTGTCATACGGGCTTCAAATTTCTCCCAGAAGGCAGTAAATATGTTTTTTTAATCGTAGCTCCGTTTCGTTGGGTGGGTCGGCGGTGTGGTAGACATCCGCCATTTTGGAGGCCGCAGGGACGGTGGGCTCGGGGCTCCTTAGGACCTGTACTGGCTCATTGCTTTGCCAAGGGATCATGTGGGGGTAGACCGAGATGATCCCCACCGTTCCAATGGGGGGGGGGGACGAGGTCTCACCTCCAAATACCCGGCATGGTGTGGCCTCTGGGGAGCGGCCGTCTCCCCTGCACCTGCCATGCTTGTAGTCTGCACCATGAGTAGAGCTTGATCTATCGCTTGAGAGGTGTCGGTCTGTTCACCTCGATGCCCTCTCTCATGTGGTGTTCTTGTAACCTTGCCTGTGTGCCAGTGAAATTCATCTTTTAGTGCCTAGTTTAGCAATTGCTGCTGAGATGAACGTCCTCACTGCTCTGCGGTCAGGCCGCGCCCCCCATGGATACATTTTGTTGGAGAGTATAAACTTCAGAAAAATTGTGCTGAAGATGGTCTAGCAGTGGGCGTATTTATGAAGCCTATCATATTGGGGGTGATCTCTGGGGTGACAGAGGGTATTGTCATTAAAATGTAAATATCTCAGCAGCAACTCATATCTTGCTCTAGACATGGTTTGGGTGTACACTGGACTAGAACAGATAGGGTTGGTGCTCCAGTAAGAGTGAATTGATGGCTTCTTTATAATCCCCATGAACATGGTAAGAGCCCAGAATGTTTAAGTTCAGGGACATCTGTGGGATGCCAAGCATTCTCCTTGACTGCATAGCTACCTGGATTGGCATCAGTAAATTGGGTAGCATATAAATTAGTCTGGGAAGCAAACTCCTCCCAGATGGTATCCCCCAAAAATAGCTCCATATAATGCATAGAGGAGAAGTCATCCACATTGATATAAATGCCTGCGTTGGCACTAAAAGAGGGGATGTTGGGCTCCGCTAACTGTGGAGGTATCCAGTCCTCCTCCACATTTGGCGTAGCAGGGAAAGCACAGCTTCTTTTTGCAGACGGCTCATACACAGATGACACATCACTAGACGTGTCAGAAAACTGATCTTCGTCAAAATTGGACGCAGTGTCAGTGACGTCATCCAAACTGCACATGCACTGCATATTTCACCAACACACTAACTGACTGACTAAACGAACAAATTAGTAACACACAATTATTTTATTATTTTTTTTTTCACTAAAACAGATAAAAATTGATTATAACAGACTAAATGAGACTAAAACTTCCTTTAGCAGCAATCCCTATACTAACTCCTGCAAAAAGAATCTAATGGAGATTTAAGGGAAGGAAACTTACTGACTAAAACAGACTAAGACAGAATAAGACAGACTAAAACAGACTAAAACATAACTGTTTAACACAAATTTAACTCTTAAGGGCAAAAAAAAATACAGACAGTACAAATTCACTGCTGTAACAGATTTGGCATGGATGAGGTTATAAATGATTTTCTTAATTAAGTTTTACAACTTTTTACAGGTTCTGGAACACTGCTGGCTACAATATATCAGGATCTCTGTCTCTCTCCCTCACAAAACGCTACAGAGGAGAGTGGGGCAGAGATCACTGTCAGAGTGAGTGTTTGTAACACCCACTTTGACAGCAGCCAATTATGAGCGATCACGTATTGCTCAATCAACTTAATTGGCTGTTACTATCTGCCTGGCATCTCTGATCGCTCCCGCCGCTCGTTTTTTTCCGTTATGACCCTTCAGGACTGTCATCGGTTCTCAAGGGCAGGGCTTGACAAATTTATTTGGAATCTAGGAGCCAGTTAAAAAAGTTAGGAGACAGTCATTTTCAACGAGAAAGTGCAATTCTTAAAGGTACACTATAGTCACCAGAACCACTACAGCTTGATGTAGTTGTTCTGGTGTCTATAGCCTGTCCTTGCAGGCGTTTCAGAGTAAACACTGCCTTTTCCGTAAAAAGGCAGAGTTTACATTGCTGCTTACTAACACCTCTAGTGACCGTTACTCAGATGGCCACTAGAGAGTCCTGGGTCACTGCTGCACCATGTTCAGTGTCTCCAAGCTCCGCATGGTGCCGCTGAATGTTCCTCATAGAGATTGACTAATGTAATGCATCTCTACGAGGAGATCCGTATTGGTACATTTGCTGCACGTGCATAAAATCCTCCCAATGCTTTCCTAAGGGAAAGCATTGGCTTAGCTGAGATCATAAAGATTGATCATCTCAGCCATGGTGAAACTGGCACGGCGTGGGAAAATGGGAAGAAAGGTGAGTAAACACCCTCCTCATGCGATCGGAGGGGGCAGGTACCTAAACGCGCGCACACACACTCACAGGTGCACATACGCTTACAGGCTCACATACACACTCATGCTGACAACAAGCTTGCACGCACACACTTTGACAAGCTCGCACACAAACTCTTGACAAGCTCTCACACACTCATGCTGACAACAGGCTTGCATGCACACATTTTGACAGGCTCTCACACACTCTTACACTGACAATAGACTTGCACGCAGACACTGACAGACTCGCACACACAAACTCTGACAGGCGCTCACTCAGACTCTCTTGACAGGCTCTCGCTCTCACACACACACATACAGACACTCTGACAGGCTCTCTCTCACACACACACACACACACTCTGACAGGCTCACACACACACATACTGACAGGCTGACACACTCACACTCACACTGACATGCTGACACACTCTGACAGACTCTCTCACAAACACACACACACTCTTGACAGACTCTCTCACAAACACACACACACTCTTGACAGACTCACACAGGCTTATACACACACATTTTTGTTTTAATTGAAACCCACTCAACCTCCTTACCTTTGGGATAGCAGAGTGGGTATTTCCTGGGGTCCAGTGGGGCTGCTCTCTATGCGAAGGAGCATAATGCTTCCGCCGACCACGCACAATGCTTCCGCCGGAGGATGGCCGCCTCCATGTTCTTGCGGACGGGCGGCCGCCTTCAATATGTCCCATGACTAGAGAGCTGGCAAATCCCAGACGCCAGGGTGACATTTCTAGTCGCCGTGGCAATCTGGCGCCTGGGAGTTGTCAAGCCCTGCTCAAGGGTATGTTTCCGGCGACGGTCCTGAACCGTCAGTGGTCCTTAGGGTGTTAAAGGGAAACTATTGGCTAGGTAAACAAAAAAAAAAAATTCTCTTTAAGCGCACACCTATTGTGTATTGGTTATTATTAGTATTGCTGTGTTGAGAAATCACAATGCTTAGGGAGGTTTTGCAGCTATTAGAACTTTATTTTTAACTTTTTGGGCACTTTTTAACATTTGTTTCTCAGTAGCTCTGAATAGTCCAACAAGCAAATGAACCATTGTGTCTGCTACTTCATCTAATAATTTTAGTTTATAGTGTACCTACTTATGTTGAAAATTAGGCAAGGTTAGCCCTTTAACATATATCAGTTTCATAGAATGCTTCTTGTGCTGCACCTTATGCCATAATCGTGTGTGATGTCATAATCGTGTGTGATGTCATAATTGTGCATGATGTTCTTTACTTGCTTTAGTTCTGAGAACTGCTTTGTTGTGGAGTAGTTGGAGTGGGCAGGTGAAAATTAACTAGGATGGGGAAGAGAAAGATATATATGAGTCTAATGGTGGTGAGAATCTTAAACAGACTGAGAGCAAAAACAAAAAAGGTGAGCTCAACACATGTGCAAATAAAAAAAGTCAAAAGTGTGAAAAGGAGAAGAAGGGGAAAAAGTATTTCGCTGCAGAAAAAATGCACTAAAAGTGTGCAAACAAAGAAAATAAAAAAATGTGAAAGAGCAGTACAAGCGGACAGGGTGAATGAGTGCACAAAGAGCACGCAGACTTGCAGACTTGGTATCCGTTCTATCAGTGTGCAGGCTAATATGGTAGAAAAAGATGAACCAATGGAGTATATAAATGCAGGAAACACCAGGAAGAAGAAGCCAAAACAAGAATCGATGGACACCAGCTAAAAACTCGGCTAAACAGACATCAAGTTTGTTTTTACATTTAATTTCAGCCTGCATTTTTATCCACGGTCCGCATCCTTATCCGAATGTATGTTCCCTAGAAGCTATTAAAACTATTGTTTTGTGGGGGGCCGAACCAAGATGTCCTACAGCACCGCTCCCCACACGGCGCAACCAATGTCCAGCGACTGGGCAGCAGCCTTCCAGGCAAGATTTGACGCCATATGCAGGCGATTCTGGGAACACCTGGAGAACAGGCGCCAGCCACCAGCCCCAACACAGGTCAGCATTATGGCCAGAGCACCACCAACACAGCAGCCAGCCAAGGATCTGTCCTCTGAATGGCGAAAGACCAAGGCGCAGTCGGAGGGGCACCAGCTGGGCAAAGCAACTAACAGAACTACTAGCTATCAACATGACGGCCCATCAGGGACTAGAGCCACCCCTAATCACCACCAACGCCTGCGAAGGAGAGCACGATGTCAGCGGAAACATGCAACTCCGTGCAGCCCCACACCGGGGAAGGACTCAGCCGCGGAGATGAGTCAAGTCTGTGGACCAGTGGTACCGGTTTTTAGAAGGTCCCCGAGCAGGAGGGGTGCTTCACCTGGACTGCACTGTGCAGCTGACCCAGTTTACAATGTGAGGACTCTCTCTCCACCTACCAGAGGCAACAAACGCTTACTAGTTTAATGTGTGTAGTCATAGTGTCCTATATCCCAAAACTCATGCAGAAAAGTTGTCTCCTTTGAAAACTTGTGTGGTTTTATGATATGTTTTCTCTCTCATGCCACTCACATGGTAGACATGTTGAAACGCACCCATACACATTTGGGTGCCTAATCCAGCTTGGAAGTACACATAATGCTGTTCACAGCTTGTAGAGCCTAAATACATTTAACCTTAGTAGACTCACCCTAGCTTTGTACTCTGCTTTTATGTGTTTAGCTGATCTCATTCAGTACACTTAACTAAGCACTGACTATAGTTTAACTTGCTACGGTAAAGTCTGTACACATTCTAAGAGCCAGTACTAGTAATATGTTTTTCTCACTTGAGTATTTAATCTATGTACCTAGCATGTTCCATAATATTAGCCTGTTTAAAGTCTCTATATAATTTATGCTACGGGAACTGTCCCACTTACGCCTGTACTCACATGACTTTCAATCCTTATGTCAGCATTTTCACTTTGTCTAGTACCGACTCTATCTTCTTATATAGCTGACACAGAGACTTCTCTTGAGACTTTTATACTTTATAATATAAAATGTGCACCGTTGATGTATGCCTAACACATGTTTATAAATGTTGAATTGACAGGCGAGCAACTGCTGTTGTGGCATTGTATGCCTCTTTGTTTTTTCACAAGCACAATAAAATAAAGAATTAAAAAATATACATATTATTTTGTGTGTTAAATAATTTTGCTAAGTGTATTTTCACATTGTATGATAGAAAGCAGCTATAACACTTATGTAATATTAAACTTGGGGAAAAGTACAGCATTATAGGAACACTCCAAGCAAAGCTAATAGAATCTGGTTGAATAAAGTAAAAATCTTGTAAATATCACTTTTATTATAAATAATACACATATTTTACCAATCAGCCAAAGCCATGATACTATAAAGATAGGCATGTGGGGGTGACTCTGAGTATGGTGTGTGTTTGCAAATTTCCTCTTTGTCCCCATTCCTCCTGCATCACTTATTGTTATACATTTTACTGGGATTAAAATATCAAGTCCACTAGACACTTCCAGCCTGAGGGTCCATGGCACACTCAACTGGGCTAGTTTTCTACTTGTGCTAATTGATCACCTGCAAATGGAAAGTAGTAAGTATACATTGGGAACCCTGCATTGTATATGCAACAGAATGTTTATGTAATATTGTGTTATCTTTGCTGTACCATTAATACAGGGAGTGCAGAATTATTAGGCAAGTTGTATTTTTGAGGATTAATTTTATTATTGAACAACCACCATGTTCTCAATGAACCCAAAAAACTCATTAATATCAAAGCTGAATATTTTTGGAAGTAGCTTTTAGTTTGTTTTTAGTTTTAGCTATGTTAGGGGGATATCTGTGTGTGCAGGTGACTATTACTGTGCATAATTATTAGGCAACTTAACAAAAAACAAATATATACCCATTTCAATTATTTATTATTACCAGTGAAACCAATATAACATCTCAACATTCACAAATATACATTTCTGACATTCAAAAACAAAAACAAATCAGTGACCAATATAGCCACCTTTCTTTGCAAGGACACTCAAAAGCCTGCCATCCATGGATTCTGTCAGTGTTTTGATCTGTTCACCATCAACATTGCGTGCAGCAGCAACCACAGCCTCCCAGACACTGTTCAGAGAGGTGTACTGTTTTCCCTCCTTGTAAATCTCACATTTGATGATGGACCACAGGTTCTCAATGGGGTTCAGATCAGGTGAACAAGGAGGCCATGTCATTAGATTTTCTTATTTTATACCCTTTCTTGCCAGCCCCGCTGTGGAGTACTTGGACGCGTGTGATGGAGCATTGTCCTGCATGAAAATCATGTTTTTCTTGAAGGATGCAGACTTCTTCCTGTACCACTGCTTGAAGAAGGTGTCTTCCAGGAACTGGCAGTAGGACTGGGAGTTGAGCTTGACTCCATCCTCAACCCGAAAAAGGCCCCACAAGCTCATCTTTGATGATACCAGCCCAAACCAGTACTGCACCTCCACCTTGCTGGCGTCTGAGTCGGACTGGAGCTCTCTGCCCTTTACCAATCCAGCCACGGGCCCATCCATCTGGCCCATCAAGACTCACTCTCATTTCATCAGTCCATAAAACCTTAGAAAAATCAGTCTTGAGATATTTCTTGGCCCAGTCTTGACGTTTCAGCTTGTGTGTCTTGTTCAGTGGTGGTAGTCTTTCAGCCTTTTTTACCTTGGCCATGTCTCTGAGTATTGCACACCTTGTGCTTTTGGGCACTCCAGTGATGTTGCAGCTCTGAAATATGGCCAAACTGGTGGCAAGTGGCATCGTAGCAGCTGCACGCTTGACTTTTCTCAGTTCATGGGCAGTTATTTGCGCCTTGGTTTTTCCACACGCTTCTTGTGACCCTGTTGACTATTTTGAATGAAACGCTTGATTGTTCGATGATCACGCTTCAGAAGCTTTGCAATTTTAAGAGTGCTGCATCCCTCTGCAAGATATCTCACTATTTTTGACTTTTCTGAGCCTGTCAAGTCCTTCTTTTGACCCATTTTGCCAAAGGAAAGGAAGTTGCCTAATAATTATGCACACCTGATATAGGGTGTTGATGTCATTAGACCACACCCATTCTCATTACAGAGATGCACATCACCTAATATGCTTAATTGGTAGTAGGCTTTCGAGCCTATACAGCTTGGAGTAAGACAACATGCATAAAGAGGATGATGTGGTCAAAATACTCATTTGCCTAATAATTCTGCACTCCCTGTAGTAAATTATTTATCTTCTATGTATTACAATATATCATTTCCTATTCATGATATAGGTGCTTTTCCTTTGCTTCTATGATTTTAAAGGCAAGTAGAATTTGCAAGAACAGTAATACAAGAAATGACAGCCGTGAGATTTGCACTGAATACTTTCTAATAATCATTCAATTTATTATTACTGATGTATCACAACAAGGGATCTGAGTTTGTATTAGTTTATTGTGCTTTCTAGACATGTTCTATGCAGGGCCACCATCAGAAATTTTGGGCCCCTAACACAACTGATGGACTCGGCCACCGGGAGCCAGCCCCCAAATCCCACCCACTGGACCCGCCTCCAAACCCGCCCACAAAGAAGTAGTTTTGTAGAGTGGTTAAAGAGTGTGTGTTTTGTGGATGCAGTGTATGTGAAGTGCAGTGTGTGTTAGTCTATGTGTAGTGGATGCACTGTGTGTGTGTGTATACACAAACGCAATTTGTGATATAATGCTAGCATGTTTTTGTATGGAGTATGTGTGTGTATGTTGGTGTTTGAATGCCGGTGTGCATTTGTGTGTAGTGTATACACTTCCACACACTGACACACACACTGACACACATGCAAATACACAGACACTAAGCTAAACACACAGACACACAGATACACATACCGACACACAGATACACACACTTATATACCCACATACACAGATACACAGATACGCAGGCACTGAAACATTGACACAGAATACAAACACAGATACACACACTGATACAAAAAGGACACAGATACACACACACACAGACACACAAAGACATACTGACAAATACATACATACTAACAGAGACACATACTAAAAGAGACATACACACACATACAGAGATACATACTGACACACACATACTGAAACAGATATCGATATACATACTGCTTAGGAGTGTGGTTTTTTTTAAACAAAAATGTTTGTTTTTCTTAAAACACCTATACCTTATTATAGCCCCATTTCCTCATTACAACCTCTATCCCACACTATAGCATCTAACCATCACTTAATCACAGCTCCCCATTACAACCACTGCCCCCCCACTACAGCTACCACTATAGTCACTGCCCCTCCTACAGCCCTTATGCCCTCACCATTTTTTGCTGCCACCATTTTTTTTACTATAACCCCTATTCCCCACTACAAAACCCTATTCCCCCACTCTAGCCCCTATCCTCCTCACTATAGATACAAATCCCGCCACTATAGTCACTGCAACTCTACGCTGCACCTCCACTGCAGCCACTATCTTTCCTACTATAGGCCCTACTTTCACACTATACCCTTAATACCCCCACTACAGCCCATTACCCCCATATAGCTCCTGTCCCCCACAGCAGCCACTAACGGGTAGACTAACTGCTGAACCATATAGCTAGGGGAAAGTATCTGATCACCATAGATGCAAGGCTATTGGCAGATTGCCCTAGCCGAGGAGGCCTTCCAGAAATCGGTCTTCGTCACTACGTTTGGCTTATACCAGTTCAGGGTTATGCCGTTCAAGATGAAGAACGCCCCAGCCACCTTACAACGGATGGTGGATAGCCTCCAAGATGATCTCCACGATTATGCGTGTGCATACCTGGATGGCATCGCGATTTATAGCGGCACCTGCGAGGCACACTTAGAACACATATTGAAAAAGAGTGTCTAGCTCTCGTGTGGGCACTGAAGAAAATAACCCCTTATGGCCGCGCATATACCCTTATCACTGACCAAAACCCCCTAGTTTAGCTCAATCAGGTCGCTGGGGATAATGCCTGTCTTCTGAGGTGGAGTCTAGCTTTACAACCGACTTCACCATACACTATTGACCTGGCAAACAGAACGGGAATGCAGATGGACTATCTCGACGTACAGTATACTAACCCGGACAGGGCCCATGACAAGAAAGCAGGACAGACTCTCCATGGGCCGGCAGGGGAGATCCTTTGTCAGCCTGGGTACACTGGGCAGCGTGGTGGGGCCCCTGGGCAACTGCCCAGCTTGCCCATGGGAAAAGAGGGCCCTGATTTGAGCATTGTAGGAGGATTGTGGTGCATATGTACCATAGTGTGAGGGCTAGCAAAAAAAAAGGATTCCTAAACACAATCTATGACAGGATGTCAGTCATGGGCATCCGCAGGGACGGAGCAAGGGGGGGGATTTTTCAACTTGTGCCTGTTATTCTCTTTTGTGATTGAGAATTG